TGAAAATGCAGTGTCTGATGGTGTAGTTGTTGGTACAAAATGCCCAAAATGTCAGCATGTAGTTTAAAATAAATTGATTCTTTTGTTAATGGACTCTGTATATTTTAGTGATTTTTCCCACTGTTTTATACTGTATAAGTGCATACTGTAAACCTGACGTATCAAGAATCTCAAGAACACCTTCGGACAATCAGGGGTTTGGCTGTGGAAGATATCTAATAGCTGAGAAGCCTGGAGTAGCTATTAAATGTTCTTGTAAAGTGCCATTAGAGGCCTCTTCCTCTTGTTTCATTTAACTCTCAGCTAAGCCATCAGGAAGTGAATATTTCAAACACAGATTTCCTCTCCTGAAGTCAGCTGTTTTTTTTGAGGTAACTCCACTTAAATGTCTTTAGTAAGTAAAAGTCAGTTCAAAGATTAATGTGTAAGATGATAAACTCCCAGCAGCTTGTGACACCTAGAATCCTCAAATGTTTTTACCTGTGGGACTATGGTTTGCATATACATACAAATTATCTACATACAGGTAGGAAGACAGTACTTAATGGTTATTGCATGTAATTTATGTAAGTTCAGACTTGTAAGGTAAAAGGGAACTCTCCCTTGTTAACTTACTCTAACCGTTTGAGATTGGTTTTTAACGATAACACAGTCCATTCTATATTGTTCTTTTGCCTATTCAGGTCTAGTTAAGGTCAGAGTACCATGCAGCAAGTATATCTAGCAACTGTAATAAAATTAGGGGAAACATATTTCAATAAATATTGTACTATTTTATTTTTGTACAGCTGTGCAGCCTTGAGGTATCTGCTGCAGTTGTTATGATTATTGCTAACTCCATGTAGCTTCCATCTATCTGTACGTGTACAAGGCACTTGGTTTTGATTTATTTTCAGGTCATGCCACTAGATATATACACCCACACCACTAATGACACGTCATTCGGATTCAGAATAGATACTTTAAAGTTAGAACGCTGCGTCAGAAATGATGCAAAACCATAACTGTTAGTTAGAAAATCCTTTGTTTTTGGACTTTAACTGGATCAGGCTGTGGTCATTCAATATTATGATACTGGGGTTCTTTCCGTTTTCTCATACTTTTGGTTGATGATAAAATCACTTGCATGATATGTATGCATGTGTGCATGTGTGTGGCCCAGTCTGGGCTGCTGTTTGGCGTGCCTTGGATCATGACCTATTGCCAAACCTCAGCAGTAGCTCTTGGGGAAAAAATGTAAACATACAACCAAATTTACTCTGGTTTCTGTATTTAGCTCAGTGAAAGCTGATACTGCTATAAGGCTTCAATATTACAAACTCTTTGCTAAATTAGAAAATGGGAGAAGCTAATTTAATATTTTAGTAAAAGTAATTTTTAAAAAGATGTGAGTGAGAAGCAAGCAAATAGATTATCCTAATACAGAAGTAATAATTTTAAGTGATTAACAGTTTAGTTGTTTGTTTATTTTAAACACATTATAGTCTTCAAGGACGACAAGGAAGAAAACACCTATTTTGTTAGGCCAGAAGTATATGGAAACATTATGGAATAATACTAATTACTAAGAAAGTTCCAGGATTGTGGGTAGTATAATCATCTACAATTTTCTGAGAATATCCTTACTAAAATGACCTACCTCATTTGAGTGTAATTTCCAAAATAAGGAGACCAGATGTCTTGTTTGGGACAGTGCAAGTGATGGACACTTTTCCTTGAAATGGTCTGTGTTCTACTAACATTAAACTGGCCTTTTTTCTTCCTTTAGATGATAGTTTAGGACTATGCTGATTTTTCCTATGTGGTTACAACTTATGGGGAAACAGTGAGGGAGTTTCCATAAACTAGAACATAGAGGGTTTCAGTAAGTGGAAGACCTTTCGTCTACTTGGTTATTTTGACCGGCGTTAAGTCACCTCCAACAGTTTGCCACTCATACCGACTCTTTTATATTTGTTGTGAGCTTTTACCACTGTTGGCTATAAGAGATGATCACCTAATTACAACTTGCAGAGCATTTAGATGAGTTGTCAGTTAACACAGAACGTGTGTAATTGAATAAAGATTAATGACTAAAACTGCCAGTTTCCCCTGCCTAAAACTTGGATGTTTGCTCTGAACTATGGCTCTAAGTGGTTTTCAAATGTGTCCCAGTGTAAAACCTGAGATAAATCAGAATAGATCCAAAGGATTTATAGTATTGGGTTGGGGGTGGGGGGTTGGGGGTGTGTGTGTGTGTTGTTTTGTTTATTTGTCTTTTAAGTTATAAGAATACAGGAGTTCCCATGCCGAGAACAGTGTCCTTTTAGTCTTTTCCATGTGGACTCACTTCTGCAAGTTAAAGAACTTCCTTCAACCTGAGTAGTTATATATTTAACATACTGCATAAGCAAAAGGATCTACATTTCATTTATGAGGATATTGCAGTAGTGCTGTCTAGAGAAAGCTAAGGCCCTGTGTTTGGTGTGGACAGAACCACAGTAGACCAAACTGTTTAGTATTGAATATTTGAAGGTTAAAAAAATGAGGCTTTGGCTCACCCACACAGCAAAAATCCTAAACCATCAAAGGATAATACACTTATGTAGATTAACTTTTACTGGACATATTGAATTGGCTTTGCAAGTTTATGGGTCTCTGGAGAAGAGACCGCAGAAGTTTTGTATAAACAGTTTTCTTTATGAGGTGGTGTGGAAAATTCAGAGTTAAAGGAATTGTCAAACTTCTTGAGCAGATCAAGGCAGAAGAAAGATGAATCTAGTAGCTGCTGCTGGTACTAGGGAACTAAGACAAAATGTTCGACTACAAAATTTAAAAAATCCCAAAGCTTCTTCCAATTCTTAGAGCATGATTTCATGATAAGAAACATCATCCCCTGTATTTCAGTTGTGAGTAAATCAGCTACGATCTCTTTCATCCAAATTCACTAGAAGGGAAGGGGACAAAGCAAGGAAGAAAACTGCTTTGCCTGGATTAGGGAATATGGAGAAGGGCAGAACACTTGCGGGAGGATGGCTGTAGCCCCTAATTCCTCTCTGTTCTCCATGGGGTAGTTGTGTGTTTTGCCAGATAAGAATCAGTGCAAGCACCAACCTTGATGTCTGTGTTTCTGCCATTGTTTTGTTTATGTGACTTCCAGGAGAAAGGAAAGAGCTTAGACCTATGCCTAAAATTAGTTATAGACTGTGCGGATTTCTTGTGAATGCTCAAATTGCCATCAAGACCCTTGCCCAAGCTCTGCTTCTTCCTGGCGCCCTTACCTGTCTTCTGAACTGACACATTCCTTTTTTTCTTCCCTTCTGTGTGCCAACTTTTCTCCCCTTGCCTCTGGCTTGTATTGCTGGTTTCTTGAGACTATGGGGAATTTCCTGGTCTCTGACTCACTCCCTTTCCCTGTCAGTACAGGCATAGTTCTCTCTCTACTGCACAGTAGCAATGAAAAGGAAGCACTTCTGCATTTTAGGCTTTTTGCTAGCTTACCAACAAGTGAGGGGCGGTCATTGTGGCTCTGGCAAATAGGAATGACCTGTGCCATGTAATACATATGCTTAAAGTATCTGTATATGCATAGAGTCATGCAGCACTGTTTAAAACAACTGGAATAGTTGGTGCATTTTTAGTGTGTTCTTGTATTATCCGTTGTATTTGTGTTGGACTGAGATTAGCGTGTTTTATTGAGTTTATTTGCATAATGAACAGATAATGATTTATTAGTGAAAAAAGCAGCTGAAAAAAATGAACTTTGAAATATCTTCAAAACTGAAGGACTCAGTGTCGCATGTTGCAAGCTGAAAGCTGAACTTAAGAACATAAGGAGCGTGACTGAGATCTTTGTTAGGGACAGATCATTCATCAGCATCATCGCTAAAATTGAATGGGTGTGATACATTTTTGGAACTGTATTCAAAATATCTGCAAAAATTACTACCAAAATACAGAATGATTTATTTATGATTTTGACTTTGAAATTAAAATATATCCTACTGTGAACTAAACATTTGGGATGAAATCTTGCCCTAGCAAGGGTAATCACGGCTAGTGGAACCAGCTTTTCACCTAGTGTGCGTTTTGTTTGCAGTAAAATAAAAAGTTGTACGTAAGATGACTCATGTGGCTGTTGTTACATCCATACTTTGGCAGAATTGAGCAGTGTGTGTGCTGGGCGTGGCAAGTGTGAGAAACAACACTGATATTACTGCACACCAGTTGTTCCCTATGAATTGCAAATTGTCAGAAGATGAACACTGACTCTACAAGAATTTACAGCATTGATCTCCTAGGCCTGCTTACCTGATTGCACTAAAGGCGTTTCCTCAGTGTTCACATCACAAGAGTCTTGAGACAATTCAGCAGTAAATCTCTGTGGGGACTGAGCTGAAAGCAATGTTGTGGCCCCAAGCACTGTGCCAAGAGCAGACGAGATTGCTAATGCCAGTGAAATATTCTTTATCTGTGCAACAGCCAATCCTCTGGATTGTCAGCGAGTGCAAAATGAAGCACCTGTCTGACAGATACAAGAAATTTCTTGTATTTCAAGACAGAAACTTGACCTATCTGTTTATATCTCATGTGCCAGCTGCTTTGCCTACATTAGGTGGAAATAAGAAATTTAAGTGTGAAGTGCACAGCACAATGAATAAGCAAACTAAAGGGCTCTTGCTTTGCTGACTGATTATTTTAGTCACTCATTGATTAAAATGTTTTTCCTGTGGCAAGAATAGCTGGTAAGCTTGTTTTGAAAACTATAAAAAGGAGACAAATTAAAACAAGCAGAATTTTTTTTTAACATCTAATCTTAACCATCTTACTTGGAAAAATGTGTTTTTATAAACGGCAAATGATGTAATGTTTTTGAAGTTACTATTTAAAAGAAATTCATTCTTGGTTTTAGCTAAGACAAATAAAGGTTAGGATTGCATTGCATTTCACAATTCTCATGTACAGCAGTAGTACAGTAGGTAAAGTGATAATTAATTGCTCCTCCTACTATGTCTCTCTAGAGATCTGAAGAATAACTTGATCAGCACAATTGAGCCAGGGGCATTCCATGGACTTTCAGAACTGAAGCGCCTGTAAGTATTAATTCCATTTGAATTATTTTGAGAATTGTGTTTGTATCGACATTTCTGTCCTTAGGCAACTCAAATATGCCACCAAGCAATAATCACATAAGGACACTGGCTGTAAAATAGAAAATCACACACTGTGCTTTTTAAATTTAACATGCCTTTTTCTTCTTCTTTCCCTTTTTTTTCTATTTCCCCTTTTTTACCTTTTTCCATTTAAAATTATCTGTTTGCTCTCCCATAAATGCCCTAACAAGTACATCTACAAAGTTAAAAGACATGCCTAATTAATGACTTAGTAGACAATATGTCACTATAGACATTAATCAGAAATAAATTTAAGTGTTTTAAATATATGTAAACAGTGTTTTGTGCTACACTAAGTTTTTCATTATGTAAGGTCTACTTTTATCACCAACCAGGTCTATAAAATAAATTCTTAGAAAGGAAACTTTGTCATGCTTTAGAATTTGTCTAATGTTTTCCATACCACACACACTGACTCTGGTTATTATTTTTTTTATTTTTAGCATGGTTTTCTAAGGAAACAAGACATATGCAATATATTCCCTGTCCATCATTCCTCTCTCTTTGAAAATGTTCTCATAGAACCTTTGAAAGCACTGGTTGATTTTTAAACTATATTTGTAGAGGGTAAAAATATCTAAGTTAATAAAATCCTATAAGTGGGCCTTTTTGATTTTTATTAACAAGGACTACAGACCCTCCTTAGTTCTACTCAGCCTAAAGGAAAAAGTGAGATGAACAATTTTTTTAATTATAATTGTAATTTTCCAAGTGACAGCATCCAAATGTCCATGTACTGGCTAACCAGGCCATCAGCACGTCAGAAATCTGCCTAGCCATCGTGTGTGCTGTCTTATGTGTGATGAGAAAACCTATGAGAAAACAGGGATTATTTTTGTGAGATGGGAAGATTTAGATAAGAAGGAATGCAAATCCACAGAAAAAGAAATTTACAAATCTTTCTGCTTTTTTTCTCTGAGTTTAAATTCCCTAACTGATACATACAGGGAACACTGCACAACCTAAGTAAAAGATTTCCATCTCTGATTGTACAGGTAGCAGTATTTTCTAACACCAACCACTAAGTTTGAGTGTGTTTGGCTAGAAAGTGCATGACATAATAATGATGAAGTCAGAGTAGCATGCACATTTTTAAAGCAAAGAAAATTAGGTTGAAACTTTCTTGCTCACTCTATACAGGGATAATACAATGAAATGATCGAAGTGCTAATTGTTGCTTTGGCTGCATATTCTAATAACACAACCCTGACCTCTTGTGGGAAAACCAGGAAACCTGTGCAAGTCATGGGCTGCACATCTGAAGACTGCGCAGGTGGAGCCTTAGGTCAGCCAGGAGAGACAAGTCAAGGAAGAGGAAGCCATTAGGCACTGGGAAAAGTGAGAAGAAAAGACTGTTCAGCAAACTAGGAATGGCAATGTTGAGATTTATCGCGCTAGATCTCAAAAAAACCTGTTGTTGCTGATATAAGCAACTAACACTGGGGGAGGAATTTAGAGACAGGGAATCAATTAATTGCTAGATTGCCATATGTTTGCTACAAATCAGCATAATTTCATGGTAAACAAGAAAATCTCTGGACTCCTTCACTGTGTAGCTGTTGGGTAGCCGTTTGGGAGCAAGAGGAATAGATAGGGTAAACTCCTGTTGAATGCTGAATGCAGTAATTACTTTAAGACTGTACTTTACATTCCCATCGTATTTCACATGTAAAATATATATGATGCTGTGAAAAGCAGAAACTGATGTAATATGGGCAACTGTAAGAGATATGGCTATGGCAGGTCAGACAGACAAACTGCAAGCTGTCAACATCAAAATGTTTTCTGTGAGTGATTTGGAGAATGTTATAATTTGTATTTGAATGACAAACTGAATTATTTCAAGGGACTACTCAAAAAGGTACACACAAAACTGATGAAAATTGAAAATTTATGAAGCACTATAAAATTATGGCACATGGTTATTCATCAGAAGAGAGTTTTGTTTTCTCTAACATCAATTTTACAAGTCAGAATTAGTAAGTTCTTATCAGTCTTACTCCTGAAAACCAACACCAGCTTTATACATGACGAATTGAATTATGTCTAATATAACAGCTGTTAGTCTGGAGGAACGTGCAGCAAGCTGCCTTTTCTTTCTGCTAATGTATTTTTAGAAAATATGTCTTATAATACAGAAATTTCAGCCACTGCCATATATCGTATTGTGAAAGTAACACTCGTTGAAGTTAGCTTTGAGAAAAGGATATGTAGCCTTTCTCTTTGTTAAAAATACCGTTTTACTGTGTGCCACACTTGGAGAAATATGCACTTGTTTTGATTAGTTTAGATGAAATTTACTTTTACTACCCAAATTATGCCCCGTATCGTAACGTGTTTCTTCCATACATGTTTAGACTTTGCTTAGGCAGAAGTAAAGCATTACCCAATCAAGAGTTCTGGGTAGGTTCTTGTTTACTATTTACCTCTTCTAATAGAAGGATACATAGATATATACATGTATGTATGTTTGTCTTAAACTTGCATTTTTAGATTTTCTATGTAGCTTTCATTAGGAGAACGTAAAAGAATAACGCCAATATGCAATTATTGCATTATATTGTTATCCACGTTGTTTTCTCAGCTGTTGCCTGCTTACTATCCCTGACAAGCATTTAAGAAATATTTTCATTCTAATGTGATGTTTTATCATTTAATTGTACAACAATATGTTCTTCGTCTGATAGAAGACTTTGTAGTGAATTCTAAATAAATTGTCATCACGTTCTAGCTAATTGGTTATATCTCCATGAAAGCAATAACTGGATTTGTCAAACTACAACCTTTATTCTCCTGTTTCGTGCCTTTAATGTTCTCATGTAACAATAGAAAAATAGGGATCTGCACAATGTAACAAAGGAATCAGAAGACTACCACTGATTCTAAAACAAAAATATATTCAGATCAATTTTAATATTTTAATGGAAGTATAATCGCTTCAGATCCTTACGTTACTGCAATTATTTCAAAAACCATACTTGATAAGAAAGAAAATTTGTGTCAAGGTTGAAAACCAAATACATAAAAATTAAACAGTATTTTGGAATGCACCAAGGGGCAGAATTCATGTTGTTATCACAACAGAATTGTTCGTACCTATTTTTGTCTCCTTCCTATAAGTATCTTGAACATTATGTTGTAAGTATGACTTGTGCAGAAAACATCCATACTCCTTTCTAAAGACAAGAGTTATGGAACATAGTGCTTTGTATTATTTGTGATCTGAGACAGCCACAATATTGCTCTTAAAAGAGCTTGCCAAGTGCTTATCAAGACTGACCTTACTAGCTCAAAAATTATTTGCCCTCTGGTTTCTGTAATTTCTTCAGCAACAAAGGATGCTGTGAATGAGATGAGACATTAGTAAACAGTAAAAATATGTCTATTTTGGCTGAATATTGTGCGCAATAAAATGCGTAGTATTTTTCATGTGTAAACAAACAGGTGCTAGTAACTTTAATAAAGAAAATTCTTTATATTGGAAATTATTTTGTGTGTTTTATTTCCTACATGTATAAAATCACATTTAAATGCAACTAGTATAAGTTGCAGTATGGTATGTTTAATTGTGGAATATTGCTCAATAATGTTAATATTAAAGTTGTTAAATCTTTTTAATTCAGTTATGCTACATTACAGAAAGAGGCTTTATTTCTTGTTTGTCTCTGACTCCTTCTGTGTTAAAAACAAAGAGGCTGTATGTGATTATGTAGGTGTGTGTATGAATAAGACAGACCTAATATTTTGCGGATTTTTTGTTTGTTTCAGAGATCTTTCAAATAACAGAATCGGTTGCCTAACACCAGAAATGTTTGTTGGACTTAACAGTCTTCACAAACTGTGAGTATAATAGCACTTTTGTTTTACACAGAAGAAATCCAAACTGTCACATGGCTTACCTGAGTACAGTTGGCAATAAACTTTCATTATAAGAAAACTATAGCTTTTGTACTAAAAAAAAACCCCAAACCTCTCCTGAGCCTTTGATTATTGATGACTTGATATTTTAAAGATGTTTCTATTTGTAATTGTAAAATCTATCAGAACTGCAAAGAATTAAATTTCATTTTCACATTGGAAAGAGGCTGAACACGACATTTCTGTTTGAATATATTTCTGTTTGAATGTCTCGGAAACTATTAAATTTCAAGAACACAAATGAGACTTAAACTGGTTGAAAAGGATACATTGCTCTTTCTGTCCATTACAGATCAATTAGAACTTTATAACTTTTTTTTTCTTGCAGTGTATTACATAAAAAAGTAAGCATATACTGAGAAAAGAATGTATGTGAAGTATCAAGTAAATTTAGAATATCAGGGTAGTTCAAATTGCTTCAGAAATATTAATTTTAGACTGTCCGTTTAAGGTGTTGTGTTGCACACTTGCCCTTGTGCTTTTTCAGTCATTAGTTTATCACATGCTACAGCACTGGAATATACTCTAGGGAGCAAAGCAATCAACTTGCGTATCCATAAGCATGCTAGAGAGCCTGTGTGATGAATAGATTATCAAGCTAGTCTAGAAAGAACATTCGGAAAACATGAGATTATGAAAGTATATCCAGGCTGTTCAGTTTTAGGGAGAATCTGATGACCTGGAAGAAGAGATAAAACGGACAATGACAAAGTTTGCTAGTAGATAACTATGTTAACCACAGAATTAGAAACAAGGGTTGATTTGGAAGGACAGATGTAATGTACAGGACTCCATGACTGGGCAGCAAAATGGCAGATGAAATTTAATGTAGATAAATACTAAGTGATTCAAGGAGAAAAAACAATTTTTTCTGGTCTAACCATTAACACAGGGAAGATGTTTTGAGGTTATAGTGGATAACGCTGTGAAAACATCTGCTCAGTGCTCAGTATCATTTACCAAAAAAATTAGGGAGTATTATTAAAGGAAGAAAGATCAAATTGAAGAACATCCATTGTACTATGAGAAAAAAGCAAAAGAGTCTGTGTTTTTAATATTGTGGGCAGTTTTTGACTGCTCATCTCAAAAAGGTGACTAAAACTAGAAAATGTTCAGTGAATGACAAAAAGGAATGGTGAAAGGTGTGGTACAGCATAGGCAAGTACTAGGAATAAGTAAGTTGGTTGCGACTGTCCTGTCTGGGAAAGGGACAATTCACAGGAAGGGTTGTGGTTTAAATGGACGTTTGGCCAGACACAGCAGGGGTCTGCATATTCATCCACATCTGTCTTCATTCCCGAATGGGAGATAAATTCGTGTACTGCATCAAACCAGCCAGTTCTGGCATTTCCTTGGAAAAACAGAGGAATATTTCTAAAAAGATCTGCCATGAGGTCAAGATGACACCAGGTAAAAGGCTGAAATCTGGTATGCTTAGTGATCACATTAATCAGAGTAACTATGCCAAATCTTCTCTGAAGTGAGAACAAATGATGGGAAGAGCCCTGATAGCATGTTGATGAACAGGTGGAGACCACCCCTCTTTTTACTCATCTCTGATGAGTTGCCAAATCAGGCAAGCCCAGCTCTCCTGTTGAGGGTTGCTGGGTCTCTTGTGCACAGTGAACATGACTATGACTATAAAGCCAGATTACCATAGGAAGTATGTTTAATTCAAAATGGTGAAGTCACCTTATTAAATGGAAGGTGCTTCTAGATGCTAGGAACAACCTCAACAGAAACTTCCAGACTCCATTTTAAAATCTAATTAGAAGTTAAATACAGAACTTCAGTCTTGTGATGGTAAGGGACAAAATGTCATTCACAGTGAGCATATGTTTGTCCTGTGGCAGTTTGGTTGTACTATCCCTTTCCTCTGAAGACCAGG